TCAGGATAACAAAAGAATACCCAAAAATCTAAATCCAAGAACTCAACAAACTATTAAGAACTCTCTCTAGATCTCTCTTCTCTCTTTCAGACCTAAAATCCTAAGTCTGATCGATCGCCTCCTTCTTTCTAGTTATTAGGTTAACATGACAGATTCTCCTCTTCCTTGTATATGTATCAGAAGCCGGTACACTCTGAGTTGACCAGATCTAATAACCACACTGGTTATTTCCAATCAGCTCATGCACCAATAAAATTAAACCAGATCCGCTCTAACAATAGCTATGACATGTCACCAGAATCAACAAGTTGAGTAACTGTCATTGGTTGGACGAAGTCCTATGTGGCTAACCGATGCCAGTCCTATTTGGTTGACTGATGCTACCTCTACACAACTCCAATAACCTTTGTCTTCTTTTCCGAACTATGTCATGATCCAGCTCCTTAACTTGTGTGTCCTGTCCTCTACACAACACAGCTCCTTAGCCTCTTGCCTGGCTTCATCTTTTTGTGTGTCCAAAACTTTTTTCAAACTCCACTTCTCTCAAAATGCACCTGTGAAATACATAATACATGAAAGCGCAACAAAAAAATCCTCAAAATACCTAGACACAGAAACAAAATGAATAAACAAGATGGAAAATAAAAATCAAAAGTGACAAAAAATAAGATATTTTCATTACGTCCAAGAAACCTTATTGGGTTGAGCAAATATGCATGACACCTTGGCATGAGTTTGAGTTTCACCTTTTATGATAATTAGCAAAAGGAGACTTCTAAAGTTTATTATAGTTTGAAGGTTCAGACTATACAATCCAAGAACTTCAGATCAAAGCATGCCCTTGGTCATGGTTAAAGCCGTGGAGATATATAATTTACAGATGATGCATATACAAATACCTAATAACCAATCTTCAAACCATATGGGTTTGTCTCTGCAAGTAAACGCATAGAAACGTAGAAAGAAAATTATTAATAATCTGTGAAATCATGAAATATTTTCATGATTATTAACAATTACATTCAGTTTCAATTTAAAATTGCAAGCGAGTATCAATTTTCCAACTCGGTTTCTGTGGGTCAAGATTGTCTACATGAGCAACAAACACAAAAAGTGAAGTAATCGATAACAACTACATTAAAAAAATTCTCTCTGTACTTCAAGATAAAAGGTGGTAATCGAACACCGACTTGATCTGTCGCAATCTCTATGTGCAGTGCAGTGCTGTGCTTAGGTCAGTAGGGGCTCGAGACGAATTAAAACCAAAATCCCTTTTAATATTTTTTTCTAAACG